GCATTTTTGTAATATAGGTATTTTGACACAAAAATCGGACTTTTTCTGAAATGACGAACCAAGTTTTTTTTCTCATATTTGGATTATACGACTCTAATCATGCCAAACATCCAGGTTTTGTAAAAATCGCACGAATAGGTTTTAAAATATTAGCTCTCAAAATTTTACCTCCGCAGTGTTAATTGAATTTGGTATATATTTATTACTATCTCTGTTTTTATTAAACTTACTTGATTCTTTCTTCCAGAATTCGAAATTTAGGTTCATTTTTTTTTTTTTTTTATTTATTTTGAAAGTTTGTATTTTTAAATATTTTTTTATAAATATTTCGAAAATATTTTCGTATTATAACCAACAAAATTTTTAACATCATCTTAAAGCAAATGCAATTTCTAAGCATACCTGCAAAAGTTTAGAGTTTTTTATTCAAAATTTCCTAAGATATACGAGAATTTACATTATGGCGCGTTTTGAAATTTGGCGTATAAGCGATAATAACGAAAATGTGGTTTACGCACTTTGTTGAAATTATTTGAAAGAATGAACGATGGACCTTTTTTCCTCTCGTGCATCAATGAAAAAAAAAGTAAGTAGTTTGCCATAAATTAAAAATTCCGCCAAATGAATTATTCTTGGCGCAAACTGAAAAAAATGCGCAAAGATAAATCTTTAAATTTCTCGATTAATTTATCGCCAAAAATGACAAAATTTAATATCTAGGCATAATTTGAGTCGTAGAATCGGCACATGAAAAAAATTGATACGTTATTTCAGAAAAAGTCCGATTTTGTGCCAAAATACCTATGTTAGAATAGTGCTACGTATATATCTAATACATATCCTAAGTCGCGTTTTCTAGACATGAAAAACGCAATTTGAATTTCGTCAATCAGCCCAGTAGAACGAGAGATATAGAACTGTCCCCCCCCTTTTTTTTTACACAGAGCACCTCTGTGTCATCTCTATGTCACTAAAAAATATTAGATCTATAAAAAGGAAGTTTTGATTGGTGCAGATTTTATATATAAAATTCTATCAGTTTCGAAGGCAGTAGGATCAAGGTCTCTCTTCGTTCAGAGCTACGCAAATTGTGTTTAACGTGAAGACTGAAGAGCTGAGCAGATCCAAAAAAGTATACAAGATTTTAACAAGAGCAACATAAAATTTCATTTTCTTTTGAAAAGTGAGAAAGTTTCTGGAATGCTTGCTTTTGTGAAGCAATAAACTAAAACATATATTTCGTTCTTAGGTGTTTTTTGGTCTTTTCTGATGATTACAGCGAACTTAGTTACATTTCCACGTCCTTGGCAAATTGTTTGAATTCCTTGTTTTCCAGCCTTTGCGAAGTCTTTAAGCTAGAATGAATAAAATGAGGTTCATTCCGTATCCTCAGTTTGTGATTTCTTTAAAGAGGAGGTTTTAAGACATCAGAAGGTCTTTATATATAGTCTGAGCTTCAGAAGCAAAAATATTTTGTCAAGCCTTAAAACTTATTATAAATAGAGAAAGAATCATATTATGCAAATGTTAAGTATATTAAACTTTCAAAATCTCAGACACCAATTATAAAATATTGCAGTGAATATGAAATCTTCAAAGGAAATTTATTTTATCATCTGTTGTGGAAATTAAAGTTTGATGTGAATATCGGATAAACTGCATTTCCTGCAGAATATAAAAAACCAATAAAAGAATTAAAAAAAAAAATCTGAAATGTTTCAGATTTTAAATTACGTGTTAAAAAACGTCCAAAGGGGCGTTTTTTAACATTTTGTGTGTTACCTTTCTTTATCATGTTCCTCGCACTTAAACCATAAGATCCAGTGCAACAGCAATATCGCAAAATAGTTTTAAAACGAGCATATCTTTAGAATTTCCGATACAGAGACTCACGCGCTGGAGATAAAAATGTTTTTTCTGCACAACGTTGCCATTGCTCGCTTTGAAATCCTTGAGTTTGTTAATCAAAAATTCGTCAAAGTTTTAAAAAATAGGAAATCTATCATAAAACAAATTTCAAATTTCAAATTTGGTCTTCCACATGCTCATATTCGTTGGAGGATTACGTTATTCAAAATTCGATGACTCTATGTACCGTTGTTTTTATCACATACGAGAAATATACATACATTTATGCAGATTTTTCATTATTTAATTTCTTCAAATATAATGCAGGACTCTAACATTTTGTGGCAACAGTTTGAAAAGTGAACCGACATTTATGAGTCCGACGCAAAATGCCAAAACGAAACTAATAGTCCTTCGGGATTCAAATCCCTTTGGACTAATTAAGAAAATTAAAAAAATTTAGTATTTTACCCCCATCAAACGACAGTTTTTTCCTCTTGCCCCTATAAATTTTTCAGAAACGTCATTAGCAATTTTTCTACCTAAAGCCAAGTTCAAGGAACACCTGCTAGCAATAAACTCGTTTATATTCACACTGCAGTATTACTGGCTCTCATCCAGATTTTGTCGACGTTAGAGGTGAAAGGTTTAGGAGATAATAAGGAAGTTGTCTGCGAGTCTCGTCAAAAGGAGTAAAACTATTGTTCTCTTAAGATAAATTAACTTTTCTAGAGAATGATAAGCGAAAACGTGAAGAAAATTTACTGTTTTGAAAGAGAAATAATTTTAAATAAATCAGATCGGAATTAAATGCTCCGCAAATAATAATTATTAAGATTATCATTCTCTGTCATTCTTCCTTTAATTTTCTTGTTTAAAAATATTTTTAATGAATCCACATGCATACTCACATACACGCAAAAAGGTTATCAGAGCAATCCGTAAAATTTGGAACAAAGTGCTAAATTTGTTTATATACATCATTATTACTCAAAATAATAACTTTATTATTTAAAACTGAGTATTAAAATAATGAAGTAAATAACCAAAATCTCTAACATTAAATTATATTGGAAAATAATATTAATCATACAGGAGTTATCACATTTTAACATTCGTGCTCTTCTGATATAAGTGACGACATCTCCAGCCAGTAAATGGAAGACCAGTAATTCAACTCCCGGCGAGGATATAGCTGATTTTCCGTGTTTTCCGTGTTTATTTTCGAAATAAAAAACTATTGTTAATAAATTGTCGTTTGAGCTAAAATGCGTCGGACATTCCATTTAGATTTGGATGACTAGATTTCGTGCTTCTCTCGTTTTAAGTGTGGGGGGATGTGAGAATTAGTAAGCTCTCACGTGGTGTAAGCAATTATTAGATCAGTCGTTCGAATCCCAAGGACTGCATGTTTGAATTATTAGATCAGTCGTTCGAATCCCAAGGACTGCATGTTTGAATTTGCCACGTTTGGTTTCGCCTTAGAAATGTTTTTACAATTTTAGATGTCTTCAAATGTCTTTATAATACAAGTCTTCACCATCGTGCATTAAAAATCGTCCTATTGTAAAGTAAAAAATAATTTATGAAAACAAATTTCGCTGCTATTACGTCAAACAGTGTCTAGCATATCGCTGAAAAAATTATCAGCAAATAACAGCAATAAAAAAATTACATAACATATTTTCTTCATCTCAGAATATATCTCATTCTCTCTGCCTTTCTCTTTCTGTTTTGATAAAAAATTGTTGAGAATTTTATAATTCATTTATTTGTATTATATGCATAAAAATATAAGCATGAGTGGACGAAATAAAAGCCTTTCCTTCTTTAAAAATAACAGTGGGAAATTCAGACTTAGTCATGATCTGGCCTGATGTCGACAACTGAAAAACAATCATTAAGAAATCAGGAACCATTTATCCTTATTAAACAGAATTTTTTTATTCTTTTTAATTATTTATGTGTAATGAACAACACTTCTAATACCCCCCTGAAAATTTTTCATCTACAACAGTGTTACAGTGGCACACCGTTTAAATAAAACACAGCTATTCAGTTTAATTTCTTTTATATGCTAACGTTCATCTATCACCATTCCGTTAAAAAGAAATATAAATGAATTTTTCCTACGACAATAAAACGTAATTATAAAATATACAAAATATTTACAAACACACAGAAATGTTTTTATTAATATCATAATTAAATTTTCACATTTTAATTTTTATTTCCTAAAAGTCAATGCTTCTAATATGATTTTATGCAATTTAATCAATACATCTATGATTTATGTTCATTATTAGCATTATAATAGTAGTATTAAAAATAATATGAAATATATCCAAAGCATGAAAACATATAAAACTAGTTCTGTATGACATATAAAGATATAATAAGAATAAGAATATAAAATTAATTAAAAAAGAATGATAAGACAAATTTGACTGCAGACAAATTTATAAGCATTTAAATTTTCTGAAAATTAAATTGCAAGGAAAAATTTTTTTTTCGGCTAAAAAGATAATGAAATACGAAAATACCTAATTTTTAAAGCTATATAAATAATATATTATTCTACAAAAATTAACTGCCACAGAAAATCTATGACAATTATAATTTAATTTGGGCATTTATTAAAAGTGATAATAACAAATTTAATTAGTGTAAATATTGATTCGTATGCAACAGGATTAATTTATACCGAAACAGATTCACATAAACAAATCCTCAATTAAATACAAATCGATTCAGACAGAAAACTGATACATCATAGACTTATTTCTAAATTTCTTCTTATACACAAACCACCAGGAAGAAAATTTGGCCATTATAATACACGGTGTATTCTCAGTGCTCTCCATTTAACATAAGGAGTCATGATTGCATTCGGAGGATGCCATGAAAGAGTATTAATGTTTATACCAAATGGATAATAATACCAATAAATTCTAAAAGAAACTATCATGCTGTTTTTTCATGATAGTTTCTGGATTATACATGACATTTTCATGGTTAAAATCTAGTCTGACATCCTAGAATCTATCAAGATGCACTTGATCTTCGTTGGATTCAGAGAGTTGTGACATATAAACAAATACAACGTGGTATAATTTTATATAAATGGGGACGTTGAGTTCTAATCCTCTTACCTCCAAACATCATGGGTATCATGTTCTTCAGAAAGAAGCAATATTCCATACATTTTCTGTATTAAATTCTAACCAAATTAAATACGTTTCTCGACAGACAAGCCAGGCCCATAGGCACCGCATCGCATCTGAAAAATCAATAACAAGAGCTGACGAGCTCGAAAGGTTTGCTAGAAATTGGCGATTTTTCTTCATGAGAAAGACGCCAATACGTTTTCTGTTATGACTGCGCGAGTTGAAGAGCGAGATTTGAAATTTTAAGTTCGTCTTTAAGGCTTTTTATGTAAGAGCCATACTGGACACTGATTTCTAGCTGAAGGAAAGACAAATTTATAATCGCGATTAAGAAAATAAGATAAATTAAATAAATCAAATTCAAATATAGATTTTATAGCTCCTATGCATATGATTATATGTAAATTTAATGGGTATTTATACATATTTCATAAATATTAATGAATACTTGTATAGGCCTTTCACGGAAAACTACAGTTAATTATTAATGTATTTTTATTTAATTCATTTTTATATTATTGATCGTTCGCAATCTATTATTTTAAAGTATACATACTACCTCTCAGTATTACCAATGTTTCTTGAAAAAACAGAAATAACATGCAAACTATGTAAATAAAGCAACTTAGAAAATGAATATACTTTCAGGGTCTAAATGTAGTAAAAATAATTAAAACTTTAATAAAATATTGAACTGAAAAACCTTTTTTTTTTTTTTGAAATTTTTAATTAACTACGGCCGAAACTTACTGCAGCTCGCAACACTAAGAAAAAATGGGAAACGTGATAATGTTTTCTAATTATCTATGAATAGAATTAGATAATTAGAAGATTATCTTACTATTAGATTAAATTGTAATATCTATAAATAGAAAGCAGTGATTCTTATGAATCTCCAGATTAATATGTACATTGCAAAAATAGATATTCATCTTCACAAGAATATAATGATTTATGGTACTTTAATGTTTTAGTTCATTTCGCTAATTTCAAAGCCCTATTTTAAAAAGTTGACTGCTGTATTTCAAAGGTATTAAGTTTTTAAATTGTTGTCATCAAAAAACACATTCTAAAATTTCTTTTCGAAATGTTTTGTTGTATTTTCATTGACATTTTTTAGCCAATAATTTTCTATTCATTACAAACAAGCAAACAAAAAAGAAAGAAAATGAGCTATGTTTGTGCTCCTGCAAATGTAGTATTTTAAAATGCTTAAGTACTTTTTAGAGTTATTTGAAAAAGAGCCCAGAAATTGTTTAGTAATTTAATTTTAAGTACTCAATGCTTTCAATTTAAGCTTTATTAGAAATACTTAAATAACAGTTTCTACATTCTTATAGCAAATAAGCCAAAAAGTTTTTATGAGTTCTTAGGCTAGAATTCCCGCCTCCTCCAAAATGCATTTTTTTACCTTTTAGAAACTGTAATGAGATATTTTATTAAACTCGTGTTTACGTTTTAATAATTCCAAAACCAAACTTCAGGAAATGTATGTTGTATTTCAAATTTACGATTTATTTAATTTTTATAATTTATCGGAGTATTTGCAACTTAATAAGACACGTAAAAACTAAAAAGCTCATAAAATTATTCCAGTTTATCCACTTTCAACATGCAACAATAAAAAAATATTATTCTGAACTATCTGAGCAAAATATTTACACTGAGATACAAATGGAGGGATATAAAAATATATATATTTGTAATTTCTGCTATATAAAAAATGCTTGCTGCTATTTTCTTCTATATAATGTTGTATTGTTATTCATTTAATTTTTAATCTCTTGATTTTTATTACAAAATGTGAAATTTCTGAATTTATTATTACTTATATATTATTTCATTTTAAATCAATATTTTTATTGGACTTCGATATTTTTATTGGACATTTTATTTTAAAACATAAAAACCATAAATAAATTTATTATTATTTCATTAGTTACAAATTAATAATTTATAAATAATAGAATAATTAATAATTTAAAAAATGGAATAATTAAATAATTTATAATAATAGAATAGTTAAGCAACTATTCAATTATTTATAAACTAACAAAAATATTACTTATAAGTGAACGCCAGGGAATAGCATACGTTATGAAATAATTCTCCTAGTTGTAAAATTGGAGCATTTTTTCATAATTGCAATTTAAACTAAATAACTCAATTGCAAACTCTAACATTACTTTCATTTTAGTCCAAGTAATTAGGATAAGGAGAGTATACAAAACTCATTTATAAAATTTCCTGTATGTTACAATTAATCTAGCACAAGTGACATCTTAGGCTGTAAATTATTTTATTTACGCTTTTAAAGTTTTGATATATTTACCGCAAATTAAAAACATTTTAAAATACATTTTCAAAAGCTTATTTCAAGGAATATGAAGGACAATTAAAATATAGAGGCTAATATAAGAGGATATTAGCCTCTATATTTTAATTGTCCTTCATATTCCTTGAAATAAGCTTTTTGAATAATATATAGAGGCTTTAATTAATATAGATCTAATATTATTATATTAGATCTATATTAATTATTAAAGGCTACTATTTGTAACAGCTCTAACGAAACAAAATGATGTTTTGTGAACAGAAAATCATAAAGTAATTAAAGAGACTCAATGAAAGTCCTTTTATCCATAATTTCAGTAATTATTAATTATTTTATGTTTATGTTACAAAAGGCAAAATTAATTTTGTTTTTCTTTAAACCTGAAGGAAAACGAAAACGGCAACTTGTATTTTTTCTAGAATACGTAAATATTTATCCTTCATAATTATAAATAATTTTTAAGGCTTTATTTATTGACTAAATTCAAATTCGGATAATAGCAAAACCGTCACGAAGGACAAAATGACGTCATTTCTTCATCTACACCAGAAATTCTGTAAATAGAATTTTTAATCTAGCGAGAAGATACAAAATAATTAATATAAGTTTCAGAAGCATTTAAAAATTGTACTCATTTTTATGAATAAATAGGTTATTCGGATTTATATATGTATGAATAACTTGACGTAATTCGAATGCCTTTAAGGATATTTATTTAAGGTTCGTAAAGCGAATGTTTGTAATACTTACGAGTAATGTACCAAATTATGTCTTTCATTTATTTGCAGATCGAGAAAAGTATGATCAATTGAGATAAAAAAGAAAAGAAGGTTTGAGGATCTGTAATCAGCTGTAACTATTTCTGCCTAGATTGCAGAGCAACAGTTAAAAAAATCTGATGTCGCTAACACATGATCTCCCGTCAATTCCATGTTTCAAATAACAACGAACTTTAAGAAAAGTATCACTTCTCGTTGATCATTTATGAAGAAAATCTAATTTAATGTTCCAATAAATAGTAAGGTCTGCATTGCGAAATTTTGGATTATATTTTATAGGTACATTTGTAAAAACTTGTTTTCTAAATTTATATCAATGTAACCAAATGTTTGCCTATTTATTTTTTATTGAAACCTATTCTTTATTGGGCACTTGAATATTATATAATTTATTCGGTTTTCAGTTAAGGAAAAATTAAACGTTTATAATATATTTAAAATAAATACTCTGAACGAATACCATAGTGTAATTTTCTTCCGCGTTCTTTCTTCATTTTGATCTGCACGTATATCCCGCAGTATTTAGGTAATAACAATGTTAGTCAGTTTTGGAATTACAACTGACTAGAGACGACCGTGCGTTCCAGAATCAGTAAAAAATAAAGCAATAGGTGTTTTCGAATTTGCTATTTTATCTTAAGCCTCGACATCATCAACAGTGCAAGGAAATAAATAACAAGTGCATTTTTGGTAACATTACTGCATTAGAAGAGTTTTGAAATTCTGTAAATGAAACACTGTTATAAAAATTATTCTCTTGTATGATTTGATATAAATAAATATCAGGCCTTCATATAATAAAAATAGTCTTAATATGTGCTGCATTATTTTAGGTTACACTCTTATTATAGTGATTCTATATTTTCCCGCGGAACTCTGTTAAGTATTCCAAGCAAAGTACGACCTCTGGTTTACATATACAATCAAATCTTAGTTTTGGGAAAGTTTCTAATGCCAAATGGTTCATTATTTTGAGCCCTTCGAGTTTATATAATCATTTGCCATTAGAAATTTGCGAGTTTCTAGAATCGTTTGCCGAGTGAGCCAGCAAATTGGCTCACTCGCAAGCCTTTCGAGTTTATATAATTAACATTGATCCATGTGCTACCTTGAAGGAGATGGCTTTTTTATCATGAGAATATATGTTCCAGTGCGGCTTCATATTAAATTCAATCCAATAATTAAGTATGTTTCTATCAATCTAAGGCCCAACAACGTAAAACTTCTATTAACCTATGGCGTATTTTGTTGTTCTCTCAGGACCTCAGAGATAATCTGCAGATCATTGTAGTTAGTTACATTCAGCTAAATGGTTACGCTGAACGGCTGGAAAATCTGCTGGTAGCTAAACTTGCGGGAGAACAGAAACACATTCGAGAGTTAGATGCATGAAGAATTTTTTCTGCGAGATCACGATCAAAAGAACCACCCTTGCCAGTACCCAAATTCAAGATCCAGCTATCAACATCAATGCGTAACACTGTACTGAACTCATCGACTGGCAGCATTGTGAAGATACAGAGCCATCTCGATAGAGATTTGAAGGAAAGTATCAGGAAAGGCTTCCCACTTCTACCACGCACTTCCTACTTTCCATGCCTTACACAGGAAGTTGAGAGGTGCGACAAAGTTGTTCCGGATATTCGGGAGAAGTTTGCGGGACTAGAGCTCGAGATGAAGTAATCATAACTCAAAACTTTCCAGCAGGTTATATTGAAACAGAGTTCGAAATCAAACGAAACAGAGATTGGCACAGTGTTCAAAGCTTGGTTGGGCTGAGCATTGTTGGAACTTGCTATACAACCACCTCGTCGAGGATAGTTGAAGGCATTTTTGAACCAGTGAAGAGTGACATTTTTATGAAGTAAACCCTGTAACAGTAGCGTTATTTAAAAAAGAATTAGATTTGTTGAGAATTCGTAATTGTATTGAATGATAACAAAATTTCAAGCCTCTTGTAGTCAACAAAGCTGAAGTAGGAAATTTTTAAAAA